CCTGCAGCCCTCTCCACTAATTTCACTTTTTCCCACACCCCTCGCACGATTGGGAGGGGTGGAGGTACTGGTCTCCTTATCTCAAATGAATGGAAATGTGATCTTCTACCATCTCTTACAGGCAACAGTTCATTGGAATCACATGCAATTACTATTACACACCCGGTTAAAATCCACTTTGTAGTCATTTATCATCCCCCAGGTCAACTGGGCAACTTCTTGGAGGAGTTGGATGTGTTACTTTCAAACTTTCCTGAGGATGGTACTCCTCTGGTACTGCTCGGTGACTTCAACATCCACCTAGAAAAACCCCAGGCTGCTGACTTCAACACTCTGCTCGCCTCATTTGATCTCAAGCGAGTGTCTACTATGGCTACTCACAAATCAGGTAACCAACTGGACCTCATCTACACACGCTATTGCTCCACTGACAACACTTTAGTTACTCCACTGCACACCTCAGACCACTTCCTCATCACTTCTAACCTCACACTAACTCCTGACACAGCACACACTCCTCTGCAGGTCACCTTTCGACGTAACCTACGTTCACTCTCTCCCTCTCACCTATCCTCTATGGTTTCATCCTCACTTCCTTCACCCTCTCAGTTTTCAGCACTGGACACAAACAGTTCTACTGACAATATTTGCTCCACTCTAACATCTTGCTTAGACAACTTTTGTCCCCTTTCATCCAGACTAGCACGCACCTCCCCCTCTGCCCCCTGGCTGTCCGATGCTTCGTGAACATCGCTCTAGACTCAGGGCTGCAGAGAAAAAAACTCTACTGATCTTAGTTTGTATCAGTCACTCCTCTCTTCCTTCTCTGCCAATGTCTCCACTGCAAAAATTACATTCTACTGTAAGGCCAAAAATTATCAAAGACTTCTGCTTTCCTCTCCCAAACCTATCTTCAGTAACAAAAGGGCCATTTGGCATTCCTGCGAATTTCTCCAAATCTTTTCCCATTAAGAAACAAACTCATCTACATCTCGGCTGGCCTGAGGGTGTGTACATTTTCAGCAAATTTGAATTTCTGGGTGAACTATTCCTTTAAGAGCATGAACATGTATTAAAGGGGTCCTATTATGCTTTTTCACTTTTTCAACTTTAGTTAGTCTGTAATGTTG